CAACACATTTTGTGATTCATTTTTAATTATAGATTATTTACGGTTTTGACGGTTAATGAATGAGTAATAACTAAGCAGTTAACTTTAAAAAGATACCTACAGAAGTAGGCCTAGGTGTAGTACACCCCTACCGAGTATGTAACTTCAAAAATCTCGATGGAGAAACAGTGTCTTGACAGCTCATAAAAAGTATCTTCTCAAAGCCCATGCATTAGCATTACGCATATTTTAAAGAAATTGTGTCATAAAGTATTCTATAAAACGTGCACATTGTTGAGTGGGCACGATTTGGGAAACCCGTTGTTGCAAAGGGTGTAGCGGCGCGGTGATGGCCGCAGTATCGATCTATCGGGACATAGTGTATTTGTAAGCATTGGACGTCTCGTGCGGGGCAATATCGGCGAAAGCAGCTGTTGCCTCGTAACTGGCTAACTGTCGCTTTTGCCTTCGTATATTTTATGTACGTTATTTATTATTATCGCCGAATATCGGCCTTTCGTTGCACCTGCGGGGCAAGTGTGGTTTAACAGCCTGAATCGAGATTATCGTTATGTCAGAATCGCTTCTTGCTTCCATTTCTTCTTGCTGAAGTAGATTCAAATTAAACGTTAAATTCTGTTGTCACACGTCTACTTATAAAACTCATTTTCAACTGACTTCAAAAAGGAGGAGGTTCTCAATTCGACCCGTATGTTTTTTTTTCTAGGTTTGTTACGCGATAACTCCGTCAATTATGAACCGATTTGAACAAATCTTTTTTCGGCGTATAGGTAATACCTCAAGGGTGGTCCCATTTAAATTTAATAATAAAAAAAAACAACCCCCAAGGGTGGAAAATTGAGAATGAACTTTTTTATACGCAATATCTCCGCCGATTATAAACCAATTTGAACGATAATTTTTTTGTTGAATAGGTATTATCAATAGGGTGGTTTCATGCGAATTTTAAGAAAATATTTCTCCCCCAAGGGTGGAAAATTGGGGATGAACTTTTTTATACGCAATATCTCCGCCGATTATCGATTATGAATCAATTTGAACGATTATTTTTTTGTTGAATAGGTAGGTATTATCAAAATTTTTTATGTTTTCATTTTTTTTTGTGTTCACGCATTTGAAGTCTGTTATTTTTTTTTTAAAGTTATCATCAGGAATAGTCAATCACTTAATAGTCTTTTTAATATTGAAAAACAAAGTTTTTATTGCCCCCATGAACTGACAACTACTTACAAAAGAAATTAAAATTGAAAAGCCCAATTTAGGTGGTCTAATCGATAGACATCCAAATAGGAATAACCCATTTTTTTCACAACTTATTTTCAAGATGCTAATTAGCTAATACGTAACTTTATTAGCTCAATGGAAGTGAAAATGTCCAGCATTCCGTAACGTTAATTGTACATGTGGTGACAGATGGTCGGCCAGACTCACTTACGAAACTAATGGGGTAGCAAACCCTTTGCCGAGTAAGCCCTGACCTCAGCGACTTGCAAGTTTTGTCTGCCGCCAACTTTAACATTCGAAGTTAAGCTGTTTGACGTAAGGCGTGATTCGGAACTACTAATCCAGAAGTTAGAGATTGACAGGTCTAGTTAAATTTGAGACACTTAATTCCTGAAGGAGTTTATATTAACTCGCAGAGCTGTCGCGATTCGAGTTAAAGTGAAATTCAAATATCGGTTGGCTGAACCGGACACTTTAAAAACGTTGGTGGATATTGTAATGGATTTTCGATCGCGCACTGCTTTAGGTTTGCAGTAGTTATTTTTATCGAAAACCATCCAATTGCAGCTTTAGTGAATCTTTTTTCGGTCCAGTTTACGATCTAGATTGCTTTATTTTTAAAGCGAATGAATACCTACTCAAAACGTCTCCGTGAAATGTTGGGTAAAACTCAAGTTAAGTACCTACTTACCTACTTAGCCAACATGTACCTGTATTGTATTTTTTTAACTTTACAATGTGTTTACGAAGGTAAAAAATAACCAACATAATTTACAACAAACAAACAAACAAACAGGTCGTAAACATTTTAAAAAGCTTCTTTATCATCGAAATATCATTTTCGGCGCTTCCTTCCAACACGCAAAGTAGGATGAGCCAGTTACGTCCAGGTGTGCCTTCTGGAGCATATAAACAAAGCGAATCAGGTCATCGCTAGCACGCAAGGAGACAATCGCTATCGAGCACAATACGACGATACGATACGCGCGTTTAGCGAAAGTGAAGCGAATTGAAAACAAACAACGGTCGGCCTGCCACGAGAGCTGACACAGAATTGATTTTCCATATTACTTGGTAACCTTAGAGAAAAAACATGTTACCTCTTTAAGGTTACTATTTGTAGATAAATAATTATGTGGGTAGGTAATTGCGCTATCTTTGTATCGTTGAGTAGGTATCAAAATGAAAAATGATTTAGGCCCTTTGTTTGATCAAAAAACTTAGTCTTAGTCAAAATTAGTGACCTATTAAGGAAAAGGTGGAAAATATCATCAAACTAAGCCCAATCTATAATTGGCTTACTAATTTATTCGAATGGTATTTACATTATACCTATTAACTGGGTCTCGTTCGTCTCAGTCGCTTTGATTTGATGCCTGTTCTAATTGCTTTAGGCTCGATCAAAGTATCCGGTTATTGACGCCAAACCAATTGAACTGTTCAAACACAAGCAATAATAAAATCGTGTACAGAATATTAGACTTTTGTTTATTCGATCCTATTTAAGTACGTGTAAATTACGGTATTTGGGTACTACGTACAAATGTTTTGCTAGCTTAATTAGAGGATCCGAAATAAGCACTCATTAAATGCAAATATTCTGTATCCTTTGATGTACGAGAAATTGATAATCATGTACTTTTTGGTTGACATACGAAGTAGAGCTGCAAAGTAGGTAGTTTGCTTTACTTTGCTGTTAAAATATATTATTAATCAATAAATACCAATTAAATATTTTCTCGCGAAATCTCTTAAACTACCTCAACTACTACCTACTTCATCAAAGTAGGTTGATAGGAATAATTGACGGCACATATCTATCGTTCAACTGTTCATACACTATTTCCAGTAAGTAGGTTGGTATGCAAATAACGTTTGGAATCGTAAAACTCAATGGTGGTGATATTTCTAGTGATTCGATATAGCCAGGCACATGCGACCGATGGCTGTATCGAATATCGTATAGACGCGAAATGAAGTATGATTTCATTCAATTACATAAATCGATGTCTGAAAAACCAAATCTGTTCGACAGAGGGCGCGGGCTGTAACTGCAATGGAACCATTCGCGTGGCTCTATCAATCTACTAGAGTCGTCGCAGCGGTCTGTAACAGATTACGACTCCTGTCGACTAATTGCCCGATCTACTCAACTATCCAATAACAAATGTTTTCTCCATCGCTTTATTTGATTAGTTCGCCGGTGCTCTCGAATCGAGAGCCATCGAGTAGCGACTTGATTGTTACGTCTCTTTTTTTAGCAATCCCGTAGCGAAAATGTTTTGCCATTTGTTTTGATTTAATCTTTGTGCTGAGATAAGTAGAAAATAGATTATGTTTGCATTATATTTCTAACTGAATACAAATCCTAACAAAATTGATACACTTAAAATTTATGTTGCAAAGTAACAAGCTGAAAATCCAGCCAGTAGAGAAGAGTATAACAAAAGTAACAAGTGTCACGGCAAGTTACTATAAAAGCATTCTGTTTATTCTTTGCTCGCGCTTCTCGTGGACCGTTTAGGTTGGGTGTTTTGTTTTCGATATGTTTGTATCATCAATATTTGTTCGTGTATTGATGCGTAATACGATATGTCTTGGTTAATATTTTGCCCTAAATTGTGATAAAATAATAAAGAATACAGAATACATAACGACTTCAAGAGATCTTTCAGACTTTGGGTGTATTCTTTTAGCAATATTTTTTCAGTCATAATACTCGTAATATTTTATCTGAATAAATATTAACGTATAAACAATATTAAATGGATCATATTTTTATTATGATGACACATGTTTATGAGTTTTATACTCGTAGTAAGTACACAATTTTTATCTCTGCCGAAGTTCGTAAGAACGTAAAGCACAACAGTTAACAGTCCTTACGTTTTGTAAGTATGATAGGAGATGATAAGTTCTAAAACTTCCTGCGCATCGTAAATTATACTTCAAAAGCACATAGTTACGGCTAATAAAAAAAGCTTTGCAACGTTACTAAAACCCGTAGCAATAGGCAAAAATATTTAAATAGCAAAAAAATCACCGAAAAATGTATTAGTCTTACGCAATTTGCGAAATTGTTTCAAGAACTCGCTGAATAATTTCAATTGTTTTGGAAGTTGGCGGAAGTTTTATTAAAGTGAAACAAAAGTGTTCGGTTACCCGGTCCGGGCGGCTGGGCGGCGCGCGCGCGGCTGCCGTGTCAAGCGGAACCTTCGAGTGGCCACGGCACGGAACGAAATGAAATTTCATTTCCTTCTACATTCCTCCTTTATGAAATCTTTCCCAATGCTTCACTTAAGTGCAATTTTCACGACGCCGCCTGCCTGGTATTTTGCCGCAGTCCCCAATTCAACATTTTGAAACAAAATAGAATCTTTCCAAATGGACAGACTTTATAAAGGTTAATTGGCTCCGTTTGCTGCGAGAACGGACCAAAATGGGAAAATGTGCTTAACTAAAGTCATGTAAAGTCAGACAGTAGGCACTGTATTTATACAATTACGTTTTATGTACCTACACATTTATCGCAACAAGTACCTAATATAAGATATTTCCAGCTTGCATTGTGTGTTATCGTATTTGACGCGCGAGTCGACACACAATATTATCAGGGTCAGCACTGTCTTCGCCCTGAGAGCCTTTTTCCACTTGTAAAAGTAGCACTTTTCAGGAGGATTTTTCTATAAAAGTTGTATTAAAAAGGTGCCGATTGTGTTTTTAGAAATGAATGAATATGTACTTAAATAATTTAGCTACGTAATTTAACTTTTCAGGTAACCGTGTGTTCGAGCAGTGACACTTCAATTGGTAAGTACTTTTACATTATAATGTACTTAATACCTATTGTAATATAAGATTAAAATGTTACATATTAGGTATATTAAAGATTTCTGAAACTGTTTCTAAGAAAAGAACCTCTACGTCGAGACCGTCCAGAGCACAACGTAACATAGTTTCGATTAATCTGGCCAGGTGGTGTAGACATTAAATTAAAACGTGTGTTAGTGTGTTTAGGCCGGTACAGTTCGCAGAACGATATAAGTTAAAACGGTCTATCCCTTTCTAGCAGAAATAGCGTCGATATACAATCCTAGGCATGGTGACAAAGAGGGAGAGTGACAAACAGCACTTAGTCTCTCGTCTTGAGTGAAAGCTGTTTTGCCTAAACTATTTACTTCGTGACTAATTCTTTTCTCAATGCAAAGAGCTCTAGATTAGTAGCGCCCTTGAACATTTGGATTCTCGAGCAAAATGGCTATACGAGTAATACAAACGTAGGACCTAAAGTTTTAAGGTCACAAATACAATATATTGTTTTAAACTTTCATGGTCACTTACATGGTACCAATCCCGTCAATAATAATTATTATATTTTAACGTCTCATTTTTCTCAGTAAGCTCTTCGATGCAGGTTTGCTTTGTTGTACGTAACAAAGAGTTATCCATCACCTTGCAAGGTTCTGTTTAATATTTCAATGCGAACCGGACGGAGGATGCCAAGCCTATAGGTGCTATATGAGGTGTCGCATAGGAAAAGATTGATAGTGTCATGAATAATAATAGAAGAAGTTTGTTTAAGCTTGTCTTGATACGATATGCATACTTGATGATAATAGACCCATTTTTCTATATTAGATAAGGTACTTATATTATTGTAACTAATATGGGCCTGAAAAATACGTCATTTGTACATTTTGTTTGAGTAAAGTCGTTAAAGTTTATTTTAGAATCATACTGTGAATCACAGTCGAGGTATAGGATGTAAACGATGTTAAAGCACAATAACTCGTGAACGACCCGAAAATGGTGACCATTTAAAATTAAAAGGCCTCTACGGCTTACTTTTCGATAAAATGTTAAACCGTGATAAAGAATATCATGTTATTTTATAAGGAAAATGGTTGGCAACTCCTGCAATAAGATATGTTAAATTTTTCAGGTTGTTTTAAATAGTAAATCTCGTAGTTATAAAGTAGGTAGTAGGCATCTTTTTTAAATGTTGACTAAGTACTAAGTTATTTTGGAATAAGATATGAAATTGGAACGTGTTAATAGTTTTTGTTTATCTGGCTAATCTTCAGAAGTACCGAATCGAATTTAACAGAGCTTCCTCAATAGAGTAGGCTCTAAGTTCCTTTTTGTTCTGAAAACTTATACCGTCCAAGTAATACGCGAAAGGCTTTTATCTCACGAAGAGCCACGGGTAGGAACATGATTCATTTGTCTTTTAATAAGCTGACATTTGTAAAAACGGAGAATTATGAAATTAAAACACACCCAGTTCCAAAAGCAAGAGGACGAAGTTACATAAACGTCTCATTTTAATTAAATTGTACCATTTCTTCACGTTTGACGAAACAAGGGCAGCGAAAATTAATTGGAAATAAAATAGAAAATATTTTTTTTACAAAGTAGACATTTTGTTAATGATTTCCTGTTAGGCATTGATTGATTACTTTATAGAACAACAACGCGATGGAGCAGACCACTAAAAGCAGTTTGGAAAAGTTACCTTCGATTTCTATACCCAATTTATTCAGTAGTCGCAAGGAAAGCTGTTTCGGAAGGCAAAAAGTATTCGCCTCAGTTTGTCGCATTTTCCTCTTATAGATGTTTAATCTGTTCAATCTCGCATTAGAGTCGCAAGTTGGGCCATTCATTCGTAATTTATGTTGGCTCAGCTTAGCATTACGGCTCAGTGTGACCCGCCCGGCTTTATTTATACCTACCTTTATGAGTGTTGGTGTTTGCACACGTTTAACCGCATCCATTAGTTACCTATCATAGCATCATAATTCCTTATTTGTGCGTGGTTTGTTAGAAAGCACCATTGACCAACTAATTAACTGACCATACAATTAATTTTTGGCCTGAGCGTTTTTCATATCACTTTGTCATACATAAAAGTACATTATTATATTTCTGAACTCTACCTCCAATTTGGATGAACACAAGGTTTTATAACGTTTTCGATATAAAATGTTTTAAAATAATGTCAGTCACTCAAACACTGTATACCTAAGTAAGTATTCATATAACAGAAGCCATCTTCTGGAACCCGAAACCACATAAAAGCCTTTGTGCGTGTATTTAATATTTGCCGAAAAAAAGAATGAAAGGGTCGGGCCGTACATAATATATTATGAAAAATATGTTTAATCCATGTAAAGCTATGGTTTCAATTTACCTTTACGTTTTATTCTTAGGTCTCGAATATTGCGAGTCTAATAGGCTTTATTAAACTAGCCATTTACGAAACAGTTGAAACCGCTTCATCAATTCATTTGTGTGTCTGTAGTCTGTACCGAAGGTTTTTACTTATTACATTCAGTAACGATTCAAAGCGTTGGAATGAGAGAGGTATCTGTATATTAATTATATTACAGAGCAAAACGTGATATGGTGTTAATGAAATTCATTCGTACGGCGCGGTACAATTAACAATTAAAGCGGAGTTTAGGCCCGAGACGTCAGTAAGTATCTGCCTTGGATGAGCATTATTGATTCGGACAGATGTGGGTGCCACCACGTCGAAATGTCTTCGAACGTCACATTCGTCGAAACGAGCTCTCTAACGGAGAAAATTGCTTTTAAGAAATTTGTATTTAGAGCGTTTCGTTCATCAAATCCCATTAAAACTTTTTCCATTAAGCATTTCACTTTTGGTAAAAATGCTTTCATCTAACATTAAAGTTGATAATGGTATGCGATTTTAACCTAATTGCAAATAAACTTGATAGCTGGTAACTTTGCTTTGTTACCTACTCTTATTCCAGACAAACGCTGTTATGACAGAACTCAAAATACATTTTAGATTGGAAAAGCTTAAAACAACATTTATGCCTACACCGGTCGTGAGCAATGTACGTTGTGTGTGTTTATCATTCACTCAGGAACAGGATAATATTTTTGTTTGCGCCCAGAATTGTTCCGCGATCTCCTATTTAACTTTTCCCATTAAGCTTTTTTCACATAATGTTTTATCCCTCGTCACAGCTAGATACTTATAAAAACATGTTTACTCATATGAAGTTGAGTTTATGTTCAGAAAAACAAGCTGGCTAGAGGCAAATAACAATAGTAAGTTTTCTAATTTAACTTGGTAGGTAGTCTATTATTAATCAAAATTAAAAAGTGGGTGTTTATATTTTCTACTAGCTGACCCGGCGAACTTCGTACCGCCTTAGCGTAGAGATTTTCTTAATATTTTTTTCCGTAAGAACCATCCTTGGACTTCCACAAACATTAAAAAAAAGAATTATCGAAATCGGTTCAGCCGTTCACACGTGATGCCGTGACAACGCGAAACGGGTTTCATTTTTATATATATAGATTTAAGCATTTTACCGTGCTAATGTGTATCAACACATTCATTAGTCCGTCTGGACTGTTGATTTCATACATTATTTTAGAGGGTCATTGTATAAAGTAAGAGAACTAAATAACAGTACATAATTGATGAAATTACCCGGGACAGTTACTGTGACGTGATTTTTAACTGAGAGTGCAGAAGCAGATCATATGAATAACGAAATAACATTCGTACTTTGGAATCCTTCGCAGTCCGTCAGGTACCAAATTAGAGGAGGGTTATAGAAATTATGCAAATTGGTGTCGACTGTTCACGTGGTATCATTAAAATCTGTCGCGTTGTTGACCTCGGCGTGGATGGCGACACATTTCAGTACTTTATGATGAATAGGTACACTGGCTGTAATAACACTGACGATACGACTTGTTTTAAAGGTATGAACAGTAAAAAATTCATCTCACTTACATTTTTAGTAAGACTCACATTGGTTTTTTTTACGAGAGCTTGCTGTTTTCGCTGCAGAATTTGGTTCAGCGAATCAGGCTAGAAGTGGTTCAAGTATTTTCCGATAAATAGCGGTGCCGTCGATCCCTACAGTGTAAGGGACAGGTTGGCGAACACTTTTTAAACAGAGAGCTCAGACTGTGCTTCGCAGTTGAACCCATTTTTTTCTTATTGCTATTAAATTCTAGTCGTTATGCTTTACGACATTAACTGATGACTAATAATCCTATGTTTTGATTACGAGAAATAAATTAATGACCTGAGTTTTGTTACAATTTTCAGCCAAAATAAGTATGCATTACTTTCTTGATGGTCGAATTTAGTGGAGACTTTATAGGCGCATTTTTTGAAAACTATAACTTTACATACCTAGTTAAATTTCAAGTTACTCCAGTAGTCACGTAAATAATTTAGCTAAGTGGAGTAATCCCTTGAGTGAGAGTTGACAGCGACATAATGAATAATGTTACAAGAATTGTGTACTTTGCTGGGGCACTAACGTCCTTTCTTTAGCTGAATTACTAAAAGCGAAGTACACACTTTTCTTCCGGCGTGTCGTCGGTCCCGGGATCACAGCGGTCATTTGTAACTTGTCTTTGCCAAGTTTACTGGACGGTATAGCTCCTCGTACATAATGTAATTTCGTAGACGCTGTGTGGTAAGAGCTACACTATTTTATGATAACATAATGGTATGAGGTACATTCACAGGTCTTTTTTAGTAAGTTTATTAGGTACTTGTTTTCTTTTAGCTTATACTTTCGGTTCGCAATGACTGCTCGAGGCAATTGATTAATTACCTATTGCGTACTAATGAACATGTTTAGTAAAGTAACTTATCTTGGCAAGATTTATGTAATACCACAGAATAATAATAAGTACTACGTACAGAAGTTTTACTTCGCGAAGGTATTTAAAAAAATGTATGCTCAATGTCATTAACAATATGGTGTAATTTAGCCTGTCTCAAGAGTCAAGCACCATTTTGTTGA